GTGATTTTTGGTAGTTGCAGATCATAGAATAGTCTGTGATCATCCAAATTACTTTACGTAATTGAGCACATGGATTTTGCATCAAGTACTTTTAATTATCAGGCTGTAAATACGTCAAAGCCATCTGATGGCATCTTACTAAGTTACAAGAGCCAGCTCAGTAGTTTCTGATGCAGTCCAAATCCCAATAGCACGTTTTATAGCCAGGAGCTACCTCAGCTGCTTCCTCAATCATACAGAAAGTTGCATATGAAACAAATTATGAAAATACATGAAGAAATTCTTCTCTCCCATTGACATCCCCCCCCCCTTATCTTCTTACATCTCAGAATGTTGTTAGGTCTTCATCTCCAAAGGTCCGTATAGAAGAGCCAGTATTTGCTCTCATGAAATACTAAGCGTGACTGCTGTTTTCAGTTGTGCTGCCTATGGAAGGGAGTACATGTTCATCTTAAAAGGATCATGTGCACAGCAAAAAGGAGCCCTGGTGGCGCAGTGGTTAAAGCAATTTACTGCTAATGAAAAGGTTGGCGGTTCAAACCCACCAGCCGTTCTATGGGAGAGATGTGGCAGTCCGCTTCCAGAAAGCCGTGAGCCTCTGGAACATTCCGGGGCAGTTCTTTTCTGGACTATGGGGTCACTGTTGTTTGATGGCAGTGGGTTTGGGTAATCTCAAAGATCCGTTTCAAATACATGAAGGTGAGGAGTGAGTTTATAGAAGTATCTACCAGGTGGGCAACGGTTGAAACAGCACAAATGTGAGTTACCGTAGCTTTTCATGGAAACTTTTTTTTTTCTTTTTCTTAATCATTTTATTGGGGGCTCATACAACTTTTATCACAATCCATACATATACCAATTGTGTCAAGCACATTTGTATATTCATTGCCCTCATCATTCTCAAAACATTTGTTCTCCACTTAAGCCCCTGGCATCAGCTCATTTCCCCCCCCCTCCCTCCCTGCTCCCCACTGCCTCAGGAACCCTTGATAATTTATAAATTATTATTTTGTCATTATCTTACACTGT